CCCCGCCCACAGCGTGTGCCCGCCGTGTGGGGGCCGGTGCCCTTTCTAGACAAGAAGGGGTTCGTGGTGTGTCTGTGGTGAATTCCCACCGGAGAGGAAGTGGATTTTGGAGCTGCACGTGGGATGCAGGCAGGGCTGCTGTGCCGCCTGCCCCGGGCGGCTGTGGGCTGCGTGTGTCTGGCTTTGGTTCGGATTTTGGTTCCAGCAGCTCCTCAGAATTGCTGTCACCTGGCCGTCCTGGCTGTCAGCGGTCTGAGCGTCGCCCTGAGTGTGCGGTGCGGGACTCCAGGACTCGGTGCCAGGGCTGCCGTTTCCTGCTGTGAGCAGTGACACAGCCGTGAAGTGACATCTTCGCTGGCATGAGCACCTGCCTTTGAATTGATTGCTTATATAACTAGAGCTTAATTTATGAATTTGTGTGAGACCTGTATGCATAGAAGTTTCTGTCTAGTTTTATGTCTCGTGTACTAAAGGGTGTTATAACAGACCCCTGGCCACCACCTTTCTTGGTAACAGCTTTAATAAGAGGCTTCGCAGAGTGCACACTCCGCCATCTCACAGACGCGGCGGTGTCTGTGGCTCCCGCACACAGTGTGAGCCTTCAGCGCTCCGCTAGGACGTTTGCATCAGCCACAGAAACCTGCCCGTGGCCTGCACCTCCGGCCCACCAGGCGCGCACTCCTGTGCCCTGTCGCTCGCATCTGCCTGTTCTGGACGTTGCAGACACAGGGCCTCAGACAGCCCTGACCTCGGCGTCCAGCTCCTTTCACTGGGCACCATGTTGCCGAGGTTCAGCTGTCAGGGCTTCCATCCGTGCCTCGTGCTGCTTGTACTGAGTAACACTCCCCAGTGTGCACACCGCACCTATTTCCTCATTCAAACAATAAGTGGCGGCAAAACTATTTTCTGTAAAAGAGGCTCAGACTTTAGGTTCTAGGAGGCACTTGCTGTGGATGGAGCCACGTGTGAGCGGAGGGTCACAGCTGCCTTCCCAGCTGTGGGAGCCGTGGGAGCCGGCGTGCTGCCTCTTCTCTGCAGGGATGTGCTGGCTTTCTTGGATGAGCAGATCCAGTTCCAGGCCAAACAGGCCCTGTCTGCGTGCAGCTCGTGTGCTGGTGGTTGGAGTGGAGGTCGGGGAGGGACAGCAGCACGACTGTAGTGTCCTGGGAGTCTCAGCAGAGCAGACCGCGTCGGAGCGGGGCGGGCGCTATTTTATACGATGGCTGGGCAGGCCTCAGGGCTCCGGTGCCATCTGAGTCTCTAGAGATGCAAATGAGAGAGAGAGAGAGAACGAACCACCAGGCAGAGAGAACAGTGGTGCAGGGTCCTGGGCAGGAGTGGGCTGTGCAGGCCAGGACAGAGTGGTCGCCGTGGCTGCGGACGCGGGAGGAAGCGGGACCGTGGTGATGATTCTAGGAGTTCACACCCAGGATCACACCGCAGGCGAGTCTGGTTCACTGCACAGCCACCGATGCCTGAGCACACGTGAGGAGATCCTTTATCTTCCCCGAGTCTGCGCCAGGCTGGGGAGCCACTGCAGGAGCAGCCCTTGTTCTGCCCATTCGGCTGAGTGAGGCGGGACCGATGTCCAAACCGGGCGGAGCTGCCGAGGGCACTGTTGGCCACAGAGAAGACGGAGGAAGAATTGGTTGTTACGGAAGCCAAACAGGCGTTTGCTCTTACAGAAGGGGCCTTCCTGTCCTACAGCCACTGACGCGCGAGGGGAATAAAGCAGTGACGTTTCCAGGCCGGGCCCTGCCCCGCTCTCTGCGCTGGTCCGCAATGCCTGGGTCCTGGGAAGCCAGCCTGCTGACCTGTCCCCACGCTCGTCACTGCGGCTCGTCCCGCCCCAGGGCCCGCTCGCTCATGCCCTGCATCGGCGACAGGCTGCACCTGCCCACACACTGCTTTGATGACTTCTGTGGATTAAAGATATAATAGGGTGTCCCCAAAATGTACGTACACTTTAACAGCTGATAACACACTTCATTTTCAGTCCTTTTGAGGTTTAACTGATTTGAAATAATGGGTGAAGCCAGACTAAGCTTTGAACAAAGAAAATTTATCCTAAAGTGCCACTAGACTGTTTTTTATGGGGATACATAACAGGTAAAGTTGACAGTACAAAACCAGCAGCAGTCGAATTGAGGGCACATGAATACTGGACGAAAGGATTCTTGATGTTGCGATTCCATTGCTTCGTGTTATCAGGAGTGCCTGGGCCAGAATGGTCATCAGTTTGAAAACAGGCTTTGATCAAAAAAGTATTCATTTTTGTAGATTTGGAAAATTAACTGTATGTTAATAAATATTGACTTAAAAATCATTCAAAGTGTGTATACATTTTTGGGACACCTGTATATACACACACACATACTATTTACTACTTTCACCGTCTGTAAGTACAACTCAGTGGCCTTAAGGACATTCACAGTCCCCGGACCCATCACTCCGGTCTGTGCCCCAAACCTTCCATCACCCGACATAAACCTGCTAAACGAGAACCGCCCCCTCTGGGCCCGGCGACTGTCTGCTCTGACTCTGTGATTGAGCCTCTTCTAGGCTCCTCGTGCCAGCGAGTCTCACGCCGTGTTGTCGCGAGTCTGGCTTACTGCACGAAGGGGGTGTGTTCCAATACCGTCCGTGTTGGAGCCGCACCAGCTTTCTTTCGTCCTCTGTGATGTTTGGCACACAGCACATTACATGGACATTGGTGTGTGGCTGGTACTTCTGGGGACAAAAGCAGCGTATTATTTTTTTAATTATTTAACTTATTTTTAAAAAGGCTTTATTGTTGAAAGTTTTACATATGCCCCCCGCTTTTACCCCCCTAAAAGCAGCGTGCTATGTAGGACAGGGACGCGCAGCCGGAGGGAGGCTGAGTGCTCAGCTGCCGGGCGGCAGCCTCGGACCCGTGGACAGTGGGCACTCCTGTGATGCCCACAGCTGAGCCTGCTTTCTGTCCACTGCCACCCCATTCTAGTCTCCAAGGTCCTCGCGAGCAGGCGAGGCTCCCCGCAGGCGGTGGGAGTGCCGGCCTCAGTCCTCGCAGAGCCGCTGGGGCCTCGCCGTGAGCATGGTCACCGCACCAGGCTCCGTGCACAGTGCTCCCACGCGTGTGACTCGATCAGCCCACCTCACAGATGAGGAGACAGAGGCACAGACAGGCCAGTGGCTCGCCCCAGATCACGGAGCTGGGAGTGGGACCCGGCGCGGACGAAGGGGCGCTGCCGGCCTGTTACAGCGGCGCCCAGCCCTTGTCTGTGTCCCCGACGGTGCCTTCTCCGGTCTGGGAACACTGCCAGACGGTGCCCAGCGCTGGATGTAAATAAGGCCATTATTGGGTTTTTATGAACTTCTCTGTAGACTCTGAGGCTCATCTGTCCTGAGAGACACCCATTAGGATGGCCCAGAGGCCCCTCCAGTTCAGTGTCAGCAGCGGAATCCATCATTTCTGCGGCCTCCTCTCTGCTCTGAGCCTCTCCC